CCTCCTAGCTAGTGTATACCTGGGGTTTTTTTTTAATCTCTTCTATACCCTCTTGAGTAGTATATACCTAAGGGTTATTTTTAATCTCTTGTATACCCTCTCTCGCAGTGTAGAGCTGAGGGTTATATTTAATCTCTTCTATACTCCCTCAAGCAGTTTTTACCTATGGGTTACTTTTAATTTCTTCTATACCCTCTCGGGCAGTGTATAGCTGAGGGTTATTTTTAATCTCTTCTATACTCTCTCAGGCAGTTTTAACCTGAGGGTTACTTTTAATCTCTTCTATACCCTCTTGGGCAGTGTATACCCAAGGGGTATTTTTAATCTCATCTATACCCTCTTGGGCAGTGTATACCTGAGGGTTTACTTTTTATGTCCTTTATACCTTCTTGGGCAGTGTATACCTGAGGGCTACTTTTAATCTCTTCCTACCCTCTTGGGTAGTGTTAGGGTTACCTTACCTAAGGGTTTTTTTAATATCTTGTATACCTACTTGGGTAGTGTATACCTTAGGGTTATTTTTAATCTCTTCTATACCCTCTTGGGTAATGTATACCTTGTATACCTAATAGTATATTTTGCTGTGACCTTTGGCCAGGACTTTTTGAGGACCTTATGTTCACGATTAACTGTTTTCTTCTTTAAGACATGCATTGTTTTTACAAAGAAAAAAATCACTTAGCGTACCGTCCCTTAGGTTATTTGCATTTCAACTCGTTAAGTTTCTTTGAGGCATTTCCCTGGACTCTTGTTTGTGGACAATGCGCGAACAAAGTAGAGTTGTATCTTAAAAATGATTAGAAATACAGTTATCGGAAGTGGCGGTTTTTTCCATTTCATTCGAGGGAAACTTTATTAACTTTTTTCTGGCGATTATCGGATGTCCTGGAGTGTTCGGCGAACACTTCACGCCACCGAGAGGCGTCTAACTTTGGCTTGAATTACTTATGCAAATTAGCGTTGTGCAGCCAGCTAGTTTGCATAATAATTTTTCAAGCGCAAAGCCCGTCAACAATGCCAATTTGTCAAACCACAAATGCAGAACCTTCTTCGGTCTTCCATTATTGCTCAATGTTATCTAATGTCAAGATGTTTTCTTTTTGCTGACGTAACACGTCAGCAAAAAGAAAACTTAACTGAATTTAACCAAACTTAATTGAAGTTACACTTGGGTGAAGACTTTGAACTATTTAGTTCATTAAGTATACAAGTAAGCCTGGAATTGTTGGAAATGGTCGCGACTTCTTGTGTGGTTTTGAAAAACAATTTTTATTCAGACATGGTTTGATGCTACCGTGGTTTAAAGATTTAATAAATATAACCGAGAAGTTACAATTCATAGACCCAACATTTCGACACTCCTTTCTAGTGCCTTCATCAGGACTGATCTAATCGCTGCAACAAGAGGTCCTTTAATATGCTCACTAACTAGCTGCCCCTTTTTCTGACGAAGTGTAAATAGGCGTCAGGTAGTAAGCCGCCATCGTCACGATTTAAAGGAGCGTATCGGAGTTGACTTGCAAGGCTTCCAAACAAAGGCGCTGGTGGTAAATGTCGATTAGTGGGGATAATTGTATACTTATCCCACCCAACTGTATGGTTAGTTAGGCATTTGTGCTCTGACATAGCTGAATTTGCTTTTTTGCGGTCTTCTGAGCGAAAAAGAAAATTCAACTTTGTCGGAGCACCCATGCCTAACTAACCATACAATTGGGTGGGTCTCTTTAGTGTCTAAATACTACATATAGAAAGAGCCTTGCAGGTCTTTAATTTCTTACGCGGTTATGTAATTACCTTCGAATTCAAAATCTTCGCGACTGGTAAACTTCGCGCATTTCGGGAAAAAATATGATGCGAAAATCAGGAATGCAAGATAATGTGATTTGGGAAAGGTGTCGCGAGCTTAGGTCTCTACTCGAACTCGGGCACTACTAGTGGCAAGGCAGATTTCTTTCCTGTCCGGTTCAAAGGTGTTTCTAGACAGTGGGACAAGACGAAATAGTGTGGATAATCGAGAATATAAATATCAATGAGGAAAAAAACTGATTAAGTTAAGAAAGCGACCTATAATCATGAAACGAAACATTAACAAATCGTTTTGAAAAAAAATATGGTCTACATCTTCACTGTCCGTTGTGAATATCTCTGCACGCGTATATTAACAATTAAACGTAATGAAAAATGTTTTTACATTGGCCTAAATTGTTGAAGTAAGTCCGTTTTGTCGTAGGAAAGAATATCGCGTGCGCCGATTGAAAGTTCCATCATTCTTCGAAGCTGCACAATCTGGATAGCTTGAACATTGTTCTGTCTTTCCATCCATAATAAACATTTTTCGAAACATTCAACAGCTTTAGAGTTCGAAACAACTTTCTGATCTTGGCCCTCATCTTCCTCGTCGCCGCTACTTTCATCTTCGAAAGAAGACTGTCCAATAACGCGTTTTTTGAAACATCGTGGCTTCGCAAATTTTCCAATCGTCACTGGCTTCAGGTTATGTGTGCCTATGGCATTGTTATAACCAAGGAAGGTTAAGCGATCTTCTAATTTCTTGAAGCCAGGGGTAGATTTTTCACGCCATGACACCATGGTTCTGTCAGGAAAACATCTCCACAGCGGTGTAGATTTGCTCAGCGGTTAAACCCTTTCCTTCCTTGGATGCTTAGATTTCTAATTCCATGACGATTTTTTAATTTCCCAAGCAATCCTGTCGAGGCTCCAAAGTTGCCACCTGTGGGATCTGTGTAAAGCTGGCTGTAACAGTTTTGCTTTCTCTTGAAAAAGGGGACCAGAAACTGGAGTGCTAGATGAACCAGACATACAGGGCTTTATCGAGCTGTTCATCATGTGCAACTTTCAGCGATTTACGCTTCAATCCTTGGCTGGTTTCTAAGTTGTCAGCAAACTTCGTGTAATATATCAAAACCGAGTGTGAGGTTTTGAGCGGGGTGTCCAGACACTGAGAAACAGGTTAAAGTGCGAGGCCGTAGGCCGAGTGCTTTTACTGTTTCGAGGTGTCTGGAGACCCCGCTCAAACACGACGCTCGAGTTTTTGATCTGGCTTCCAAAAATTTTCGCACTTCTGCAGTAATTAGGGCGTATTGTTTCAGTGCTCTAATTTCCCATGAGATTATGTACTTAAGAAATAATCAAAACGTGGGAAATTTGTTGTTGTCCGTCGTAAGTCATGTAGGAGTGAAGATGGCGGAGTCTTCTGCGGCGAATACCGTAAGCCGTTTTTGTTCTCCAAAAACTGGGTAAGAAGAATCAAAATTGATTTAAGGGAGTATACCTAAGTCAAATGCCTACCAAACCAAATGGGCGATTACCATTTCTCACGAATGGCGGGTGAATAGGAAAGTTAAAGTTCCTGTACTTGATGCTGGTGGCGCTTTTAAAGATTATGGAGATTTGTACAAAGTCAAGTCGTTGAGTAGAGATTTGGCAAATATGGATGCCAACACTTTAAACTATTGGCTGGGTAAATTTGTCTAGGAGGTTGCGAATAGTGAAGGAAAGGTGCATCCAGCAAGGACCCTTAATAGAATTATCTGTGACATCCAAAGGCATTTAGAAGAAACTGTGGGAAGCAAAACATTAAATCGTTTAGTTGCTTAGGTCACTAGCTTGATCGATGTTCAATACGGTTTTATCAATTGTTGATTAGATTGGCTGAAACCCTTTTCATAAGGAATGAAGTGTACTATTTCAGACAAGAGTCGAGAATGGTGTTTTTTGAGAATAATCCCGTAGAGATCAACACCTAGAATTCTATTTTGCCGAATTTGTACAAGGCTGCGGGAATCAAGCGAAAAACGGCCCATTGTTTGCGCGTCACTCGTGTTTCTTAACTCTTTAATGGTGGTTTAGAAGAGAAATTAATTAAAGAGAGAACCGGGCACAGTTGTAATGCATTATTTGCTTCTGAGAAAACATGTGAGAAGAAAGTTTCTCATGATATTAGCTTTATTTAGGAGCAGAAACGGAGACAGAAAAAAAGGAAGAAGAATTAAATTGTGACAGATGACAGGTTTTTCATTTTTGAATGCTTCTTCGCTCACGAATTGTGATGTAAACATTTTTGTTAACCAAAAAAAAAATGAACAGGAAGTGTAGCCGATTAATAGTAATGATTAATTAAACTTAAGTATTGTTTTTGTGTTCAACTTGTTTCTCTCTGACCATGAATATTGATTTTCAGTGAGAAGACAGATAAAAACCAGATGTGGTTTTGATATGTGATCAAACACATGTGGTTTTCATGTGTTTTTAAACGATATCAAAACTCTTGTAAGTGACGAATTTAGCCAGTTTTTTAATTGGCTGTCAAACTTATGAATTATTGATAAGTTTAAGAAGATCCCTTTTTTGTTCTTGCGAATATCAGATATCTGCTCCGTACTAACCCCATATTCAGCTGACAAATTGGTTCCTTTTTCTTCTTTCTCTGATCGCAAATTTATAGACTGCTTATTTTTTATAGAAGGAACGGATCGCATACGCTTTTAGGACATGAAGATCGCGAATAAACATTCGTGACGCTGTGTGGCTTGTTTATCTTGCATATCACACCGAACAAGCCAATAGAGCGTGAAATAAGCAACTTTAAACAATCAGATCTTATTCGAATGTTCTTTATTAGTTACGACGCGTATGAACGCTGCTTTTACTTTGTGAAAACCTCGCAAACGCCTTTACTTCACTTCAACGCTGTAGTTTTGAAAAGAATATGGCTACGGATCTTAATCATGTCTAATAAAAGTTCATGCCAAATTGGGACCAAAGAAAAGTCCGGCTAATCGAGAAATCCAAATAATCGAGGTCCGGATTATTGAGGTTCGACTCGATGTGTCGTTTTTTGAACTGAATGATGCATTGCGCCTTGTATAGAAAAACCTGTTTGAAAGAGAACAACCTGTTCTGATGCGTCAGTCATCCATTGTTATTTGCCACGATTTTACTTTTGAATTGATACACGCAACCCCAGCATAGACAGTTAAGCTAATCAGCAACAGTGTGAGCTACTGAAGCTTACGAGTCTTTGAAGTCTTTTTGCAAGAAGGTCTTCCTGCAAGAAATTTTAGTGCTCTACATGGCTTCAACTAAGCTAGTAAGTGACTCAGTCCCGAGGTTGACCGGGGGGTTCGATTAAATACTGTCTCAAATTTTTGTTGAGGAGCAAAAGCTATCGCATTTACTGTTCATCTGTGTGACACTCCCTAAATACTGTCTTTTCTAATAAGAATATTGCACTTTTGAAACTCTTTTATCCTAAGGAGATATTACAAGTGCTAGTTTGTATCCTAACAGAGATTGACGAATGATGATTTTATTATTATTGTCGTCCATTGCACTGTTTTTGTCACGGTAGAAAAAAAGCAGCAATCATATCGAGAATGAGCCTTTTGGACGACTTACAAAAGCAAAAAAAGAGCTAAGTTCACGAAAGCAATATTTTCTCCCCGTTAATGAATCAAATTTTATTTTCGAGTTGTCGTATGGAAAACCAAGTTAGACCGTTGTAGCCAAGCTTACAAACAATCCTTTTTTATCTTAACTGATGGAGTGTAAAATGAAAAAAACCTAGATTACAATGTAGTTTTTTCGATGAGAACCTGTTCCGTTCTCCCGCAAGCTTCAGGAAGCAGTAGGTTGAAATGTCGTGCTTCTTCTTGATTGTATTCGATGTAGAAATCTAGTTAGTAGTATCGTAATGGCTTGACAATTCACTTTTTGTTTTCGTCTCTTAAAATCAAAGCTACCTACGCCATGGTTGGTATTTGCAACCAGTTTCAGTGGTATCTTGGCCCAAACAACCTTAAAAAATTTAATAAGAACTTTCCTTTGCATACCTTTGACTATCAAGAACACTTAAACACGGGAACTAGCTAGCAGACAAAGGCACAGGCTTAGTAGGAACCCATTGATAATCAAGTGGTTTCCTTGTACATGTTAATTTAATTCAATTCAAAATGTCCGCCATTAAACCATAGAACTAAACAAACAGAAAATATGCGACAGGTTAGGAAGATGATAAAGTCGTTAAAATTGTAGCCATAGAACGTTGCAAGCCCCTAGTTTCTATCTGGCAAGACGTTATCTTTATAACAATAAACGAAATCTTGATGTGTCGCCAGTTTCGTCTTTCGTCTTGCTCAGTCATCCGCAAAAGGAATTATTTTTATGTAATCTGTCGCTCTTAAGCCCTAAATAAAAGGTTTTTTTCTGAAAAGGTTTTCGAAAAACTTCAAAGTGCCTGCGACACGAAATTTTATTTTGCATCGTCTGTTTGATAGCTGTATTCAAAACTTGAAATAACCGACCTTAGCGCTTAGCGAGTTATCCTTAACCATTTTTTTGTGCATTGAAAGTACGATTTGACGGCCAAAAAGTGTCCCATTAGGCGTGCGGCTAAAACGATCATGTTAAGGCCTATTTACACAGCACGACTTTGTCGCATGCGACAAAGTCGTACCGTGTAAATAGGCCCTTACAGAGCTTTGATGGAGGGTGCGTTCCTTTGGGAGGATCCGGATTAGTATTTGTGATCCAAAGTCACACAGTTGCATCAAAGGAACGCAGCTGATCCGATGAACAGTCACCGTGACAGCAGGCGCGAAGTTGAAGAGTGCGTCAACGGAATCGCGCGCTAAATTTAAAAACAAAAACAAGATGGCTGTCGCGTATAGAGCAGCTGTTGTTTCGTTCATAGAGGAACTTGCCGATGATTCAATACCACAAGAAGCAAGAAATTGTGGAGATGAAGAATTTCTATTGTTTCATTTGATAACCAATAGGGAGAGGCAGAGCCATGTCCGCATTGAGAATTATTTCGAACGAATCATACGACTCTACAGTGTTTCAGACTTGTAGCTGTATGGCCAAAATGGACGCGTTTCGATCGTCGACACAAGGAATAAAATGTTATGGCAACTGAAACGAACACAGCCACCAATTCTTAACATAGATTTCGTCATAAAAAAACAAAACACAAACGCAACAAACTTGACATTCAGGCTTGACCTGAACACCGCGGACGATGTAACACAACTCTCGGTAGAGCTTGCTGAGGGTAGGTAGATAACGCTATCGGAAATTATTTCAAGAGTATTTCAACGCTGACTGATACAAAATTACAAGAGATGTGGCAAAATTGTAAGTGTCTCTAAAAGTTTTCACAGTTTTCTACGTCATCACCCGCTAATTCGTTATTAGTCCACGGGACACTTTTAAGACAAAGTACGAGCACTTTAGAGCCCAAAAGAACCGAGTTTTCAGTGTTTTGAAATTTTTATTCTATCGGAATTGGTTTGTACATATGACTTATGTACAAACCAGCCTATGATAAGCTAAATATTTGCGTGAAAAAAAATTTTCGTGTCATGGGCACTTTAACGTTGTGGCTATTCAAACTTCTCGATGGGTTCCCTAACACCTAGAAAGTAAGGAATAACAGCAAAACCAGTCGCTGGCTCCTTCTCATTAGGGGAATTTTAAATAGCCACAGCGTTAAAGTTGCTCAAAAACCTTTTCAGACTTGAGGGCATATTTTTGCCAAACCTACGGATCCTGTCACGAAAGAACAACGAACCGACGCTATTTATTCTATTTCGTGCAATGACTGTGATCACCAGTCTATCGGACAGACCAAACGTCAGTTTCGTACACGTTTCAAAAAGCATCAAAAGGCGGTCTTCTTTTGCAAAAAAGAAAATTCAGCTTTGTCGGAGCACATATGCCTAACTGACCATACAACTAGCTGGGATAGGTCTAAAATTTTCATTTTACACCTATCTTTTAGAATTTTAACATTCTCGACATCAACACCAGCGCCTTTGTTTGGAAGCCTGGCATCTCAACTCCGCCTACGCATCTTTTAATTTTGATGATGGCGGCTTACTACCTGACGCCTATTAACACCTCGTCAGAAAAAAGGGCAGCTAATTAGTGAACAAATAAAAGGACCTCTTGTTGCAGAGATTAGATCACCCCTGATGAAGGCACTTGCATGATAGAGGTGTCGAAACGTTGGGTCTATGAATTTTAACTTCTCGGTTACTTTCATTAAACTTCAACCCAGAGTAGCATTAAAGCATGTCTGGTTGTCCACTTGATTACCTCGTGAACTTTAATATATCAGAACTTTCTATTTCGAGTGATTAAATTAGTATTTGAGCAACACACTCCGCGTTAAAATTTTAGCTGTAGTGGAAGCTGATCTAAAAGTCAAAGCAAAATCTGTACTCTACAATCACAAGATGTCCACCCTATCAGCCATGTGGAAATGAATGTACTTGAGCGAATTTGGAAGATACAAAAAGAACACCTTGAGGCTGTGAGGTGCATGGTTCAAAATAGAGCATCGTTTGCCTATGCAGTGACTTAAATGTGAGTCACCACAGAAATAATGAAATCGGTGGGTACTCAGGAAATAAATCAGAAGTACCTAAAGAGATGTGCACAACCTCAAAACTCTCTCTTTCTGGCCACGCACAGTTCTCGGTCGCTTTGTAAGCATGATTTTGTAAGTGCTTTGGGTCAATCGTTTTCTCGCTAACCTCACAACTATATTGCCCTAATAGCTATGACCTGCTAAATGTACGGCGGTAAATGATAAATGTTTTAGATTCCAGCCATCATATATAAGGGATCGCCTCGTTAAGCCTTAGTTTTCCGTTTTTCTTTCAACCTTTCAGACTTCAGACGTCACCGTAGATTACATATCGAAGCACTGCCCAGAATTTTTCGATGGTGGCTGCCCATATGCCAAGCTTGCCCAAGAAAAAGAAGGCGTCTGTGCCAAATGTCCTCCTTTCAACAATGGCTGCCCTTTCAAACAATGCAAGACCGTGGGTGAGCTTCAAGACATAATGGGTTTGATGCGTGACCAGTCCAAAGGTGAAGCTCAATGGATTGAATTTTTGAAGGACGTCGTCTCTCTTAGTAAGGAAAAACAAGTAGAGTACGGAACTGTCGCCCCTTCAAGCTTCTTCAAGGGTGGCTGCCCCTTTGCCAAGGACACTGCAGGAAAGGAGATTTTGAAACCTGCATACGCTGTGGTAAGTTATTTCGGTTTCATGATAAAAATATTAAATGGAAAACGTAGATAAAAAGCTTTAATTTCTAACGAATATCTAAAGTGTGGCAATTTATTTTCGTTTCCTATCTTTTAAACCATTGCCAAACAATTGTCACTGTGTAGTGTTTTTCCCACTTTCAGAGCAAATCTAGAAACATGAATCATCGAGGTTCGATTCGATGTATCATCTTTTTTTGAACTGAATGATTCATTGCACCCTGTATAGAAAAACCTGTTTGATCGAGAACAACCTGTTTTGATCCGTCAATCATCCATTGTTATTTGCCTCGATTTTACTTTTAAATTGATACACGAAACCCCAGCATAGTCAGTTGAGCTAGTCAGTAACAGTGTGAACTACTAAAGTTTACGAGTCTTTGAAGTCTTTTTGCAAGAAAGTCTTTCTGCAAGAAATTTTAGAGCTCTTCATGGCTTCAACTAAGCTAGTAAGTGAATCAGTCGTGAGGTTGACTAAGGGGTTCGATTTAATATTGTCTCAAATTTTTATTAAGGAGCAAATGCTATAGCATTTGATGTTCAATCTGTGTGACACTCCCTAATTACTGTCTTTTATAATGCCGTCCATTACATGGTTTTTGTAGGATAGAAAAAAGCATTAATCACATAGAGAATGAGCTCTTTGAACGACTAACAAAAGCGAAAAAAAAAGCGAAGTTCATGAAAGTAATGTTTTCTCATGAATGAATCAAATTTTATTTTCGAATTGTCGTGTGGAAAACCAAGTAAGACCGTTGCTGCCAGGCTTACCAACAGTCGTTTTATGTCAACTGATAGAGTTTAAAATGAGGAAAACCCAAACGATGAGAACCTGTTCCGTTCTCTCGCAAGGCTTCAAGAAACAGTATATTGAAATGTCGCGCTTTCGAACTTTCCTTTGCATACCTTTGACTTTCCAGAATACAGGGGAATTAGCTAGAAGACAAAGGCACAGGCTTTTTATGAACCCACTGATAATCGAGAAGTTTCTTAGTCCATTTTACGTTAATTCAATTCAACATGTCCGCTATTAAGTCATTAAAGCAAACAAACAGAAGATATGCCCCTGGTTAGGTAGATGATAAAGTCGTTCAAATTGTAGCCATAGAACGTTGAAAGCCCACACTTTCTAACCGGCAAGACGAAATTCTTTATAACAATAAACAATATCTTGATGTCCCGCCAGTTTCGTCTTTCGTCTTGCTCGGTCATCCGCAAAAGGAATCATTGTCATGTAATCCATCGCTCATAAAACTTAAGTCTGAAAAGGTTTTTGAGCAACTTTAAAGTACCTACGGCACGAAATTTTATTTCGCATTTTCTGGTTGATAGCTGTATTTGAAATTAGAAATAACCGACCTTAGTGCCTAGCGAGTTATCCTTGACCATTTTTTTGCGCATTGAAAGTACGATTTGGCGGCCAAAAAGTGTCCCCAATAAGCGCGCGGCCAAAGCGCGATCATGTTACATGGCTGTGACGTAGAAAACTGTGAAGACACGTCGGCAACTATGATGGAGAAAAGAGAAATCTAGAAAAAAAGACGAACGTACTGCGTGGCTGGAGCGCCAAATGATGTTAGCTTCAAGAATAATACACATATACCGGTAATAACAGCACTGTAACGAGGTAAATTTAAAAAAAAACTATTTTATTGAATTACATGGTAGCGAATCCAAATGCCGTGTGAAAGTCGATGTGTACGAAATAATCGTTTACAACACTGATGTCAGTTATTTGCCATTGAGCGAAATGGGTCATATGGCAATGCTGCACTTAAACTAAGAAAGTTTTTCTCTATTAAAATCCCTAATTGAGATTAACTTGAAACAGATGACTATAAACTCACTCGTTTTCCGTTTGACCGGGTCGACGACGATAGCCTCTGCCTTTGCATTCTCCGAGGAAAGGATCAACTTGCAGTGAAACTGCCAGATGACTTCTCGGCGAAAAAATCACCGTGCCTCGTGATACAGCTGATTCTTTCGTGAAAATTTAGCTTTTGGTTTGCGAAGAGAATTACTCTACAGTAACGAAACTCGAGATCACTGACCTGGGGGAACTTTCGCGGCACTTAATGCGAAGGAATAAAATATTATGGCAACAGAACCGAACACAGTGACCCATTCTGAACATAGATTTCGCCTTAGGAAACAAAATACGAACGCATCAAATTAAACATTTAGTAAGGGGAGTTTTTTTTGTTCTAATCTTAACCTGAACACCGCGGACGAGAAACCATCTTCGTCACTCTTCGTCGAAATCTTCGTTTGATGCACGCGGCTCTTCTTCGCAGAGCTGAACCGTACGTGTAACTTCTATTTCCTCTTTACTACTTGAGTGCGATGTATCACAACTCTTGGTAGAGCTTGCTGAGGGTAGGTAGATATCGCTATCGGACATTATTTCAAGAGTATTTCAACGCTGACTGATACAAAATTACAAGAAATGTGACAGATTTGTTAGTGTCAACTGAGAGTTTTCACTGTTTTCTACGTCATCACTCACTCATTTGTTACCAGTCCACGGGACCCTTCTAAGACAAAAAGTAGGAGCACTTTAGGACCCTAAAAACCGATTTTTAAGTGTTTTGACATTTTTCTTCTATCGGAATTGGTTTGTGCACACAATAAGCAAAATGTTTACGTGAAAAGAAATTTTCCGTGTCAAAGGCACTTTAATGTTGTGGCTATTCAAAATTCTCTCGATGTGTTCCGTAACACCTTGAAAATAAGGAATAACAGCCAAACCAGTCGCTAGTTACTTCTTATAAGGAATAATTTTAAATAGCCACAATGTCAAAGTTGCTCAAAAACCTTTTCAGACTTTAGGGCATATTTTTGCTAAGGTAAAGGATCCTGTTACGAAAGAACAACGAACTGACGCTATTTATTCTATTCCGAGCAATGACTGTGATCACGAGTATATCGGACAGACCAAACTTCAGTTTGGTACACGTTTGAAAAAGCATCAAAAAGCGGTCCTCTTTTGCGAAAAAGAAAATTCAGCTTTGTAGGAGCACACATGCCTAACTAACCATGCAATAGAGTGAAATAAGTCTAAAATTATCATCACTAATCGACGTTACCATCAGCACCTTTGTTTGGAAGCCTGGCATATCAGCTCCGCCCACGCTTCTTTAAATCGATGATGGTGGCTTCCTACCTGACGCCTATTAACACCTCGTCAGAAAAAAGGGCAGGTAAAAAGTAAGCATATAAAATGACCTCTTGTTGCAGCGATTAGATCATCCCTGATGAAGGCACTTAACAAGAGTGTCGAAACGTTGGGTCTGAGACTTCTAACTTCTCGGTTGCATTTATTAAATCTTTATACCAGAGTAGCATGTCTGATTGTCCACTTGGTTACCTTGTCCACTTGGTTGCCTTGTGAACTTCAATGTATCAAAACTTTCTATTTTCAGCGATTAAAGTAGTATTTGAGCAACACACTCTGCGTTAAAATTTTAGCTGTAGTAGAAGCTGATCGAAAAGTCAAAGCAAAAGTTTGTACTCTACATTCAAAAGATGTCAACCTAGTCAGCTTTGTGGAGATGAATATATTTGAGCGAATTGGGAAGATACAGAAAGAACACCTTGAGGCTGTGAGGTGCATGGTTCATATGTGAGGTTGACGAAATAGAACCTTTTTTACCTATGCAGTGACTTAAATGTGAGACACCACAGAAATAATAACATCGTTGAGGACTCAAGAAATAAATTAGAAGTACCTAAAGAGATGTGCACAACCTCAAAACTCTCTCTTTCTGGCCACAAACACAGTTCTCGGTCGCTTTTTAAGCACGATTTTGAGAGTCTAACAGCTGTGACCTGCTATATGTGTAGCGGCAAATAGTAAATGTTTTTAATTCCGGCCATCATAAATTAGGAATCGCCTCGTTAAGCCCTAATAAGTTTTCCGTTTTCTTTCAACCTTTCAGACTTCAGACGTCACCATAAATTATATATCAAAGCACTGCCCAGCATTTTTCGGTGGTGGCTGCCCATATGCCAAGCTTGCCCAAGAGAAAAAAGGCATCTGTGCCAAATGTCCTCTTTTCAACAATGGCTGCCCTTTCAAACAATGCAAGACCGTGGGTGAGCTTCAAGACATGATGGGTCAGATGCGTGACCAGTGCAAAGGCGAAGCTCAATGGATCGAGTTTTTGAAGGACGTCGTCTTTCTTAGTAAGGAAAAACACGTAGAGCACGGAACTGTCTCCCCTCCAAGCTTCTTCAAGGGTGGCTGTCCCTTTACTAAAGACAATGCAGGAAAGGAGATTTTGAAACCTGCATACACTGTGGTAAGTAATTTCGTTTCAGAATGAAATTGTTAAGTGGAAACCATCGATAAAGAGCTTTCTAGCGTGTAGCAAAGGTGCGGTATTTCTTCCCATTCCTTAGTTTTTAAAGCAATGCCACACAATTGTCACTGTCTAGAGTTTTTCCCACTTTTAAAGCAAAGCTCGAAACATAAATCATTCTACAAAATCTATTACCTGAAGTAAAGAAAAATGTGATTAGCTCACGGCTGATTTATTTGAGCTGTTGTGTACTGGTTCCTGGTGAATATTCTCTTTTCTAGTTGAAATTTATTTTCACTTGAACCTGCAGTATCCATATTCTTTGACTGTTGAAGAGATCGTCAAGAACTGCCCAGTTTTTGGCAAAGGTGTGTGCCCATATAAAGCTCTTATTGATGAAATGAAAGGAATCACCGGAAACTGCCCTAGTTTCAAAGAGGGATGTCCATTCAAGAATCTGACAACCATGGGTGAGTACGTAGGCAAACTGGCCGAAATGCGAGATAAGACAGCTACTCCTAAGGTTCGAGCTGCATTCGAGAAGTTGATGAAGAGGGTTCATGAGATCTCCAAGGAAGCTGAAAAGAAAGCAGGACCCTGGCCATTCCCTCTAGATACCTGCCCAATCTTTGCCCGTGATGCGCACGGAAAGCGTATCATGCCAAAATACAATTAGGTTTCCTCAGAGTGGAAGAAGGAGGATCTGACTGAGCTAACTGGTGTTTGAGTAGTTTTTTTTCAGAAGTGACTTTTAATTCCATTTTGGTGTCTTGTTTGAGGGTATGTTTTTAAGTCAGTCAGTTTCCTCCCGATATTTTAACTTTTATATACAGGTTGTGGTGTTGGGATCTTTATTGGTTGGGTGAGAAGCCTCGGTACATGATGAGATGATGAGATAGGTATCAAATTATCTATGAAAAGCTCCCGCTCATTCAGCCGGGCTGAACGACCCCGTTCCTTAGTGTATTGTGTATTGAACTGCCTAAAAGGTAAAAGTAAGTGATGCTACTTTGTAGTATTTGTTATATGTGTTCCTTGCTACGAGATGTCTCGGTGTTGGGCTTTTTTTGAAGAGCTTTTTTTTTACTTATTTGGCAATAAACAACTCCCCTCCCTGTTTTCAAAGTGTTTATCCTTTAACGAGACTAACGTAGGGATTTCCAGGTTATTCTTTGGTCATAATTGCATTTGATCTTGTCGTCAAGCGCAGCTTCAACACTGTAACAGTATTCAACCTTTTATCTAGGAATATAATAACAATAAAGCTCTTCTCTTTGGGGTTTTAAAATGATTGTCACTTTTAGTTTGTTGTGATTTAACCTCGACAACTTATTTCTGCATGGGTTTTTAAGGGAAAATTAACATGAAATTATATCCATATGTTTTTATGTGAGGGAAGCCACTCGCCATCTCAGTTGCAATTAGGTTCGCATATATTATTGAATTGTGTCCTTTATCTAAAAATTACTGTCAACGAAATAGGGTCCCTTTCGGAAAAATCTTCCCACGTGCGCTACTTTTAAAGAAACCAATAAAAGAGCTATGGCTTTCCAACACCGCCAAAGTTCAATTGATCAATTTCTATTCAAGCATACAAACATTAACTTATACCTTGCAATATTAATTGTAAACTTTCAACTTGTGATTCAAACATTTATATAAGCCTTTTGAAATCCAATTAGAACATTTAATCATGCGCTCGAAACACACAAATAGTCTGCTAAAACTTTCAATTAATCAGGTTTAACCACAGGCAGCCCAAGTTCTAGCTTTGAGATGATCATCTTACGAAATAGCAGTCATGGCGAAATTATAAGAGTTTCTATGGGAATATTTACGACCGCTCTAAGGAATTAAAAAATACGTCAAATTCTCACAAAAAATACTTCAGCTTACTTCCATAGTACGTTGCTTGTTATATGACCGCTTTCTACGTTGAAGGGAACTCATTTTAGCGAATTATCTATTTCGAGGTTCCCTACGTACATTAGGGACCTTTAGCAGTCAGGACGGCAACGCCCAGGAAGTCGTCGATTTAAAAATGACTATATATTTATAGTTGGAATTTCTCGAATGACAGGATGTGTTCACCATTTCTTACGGCGCCGCGAGTTAAACTCAGCATAACGTATGTGAGCGGCGTTGAGTCCCAAATAGAAACTTAAATGATTTGCCGTCGGGGTTTCCTTTCGTGGATCACACAAATTTTGATTATTTCACGTTGTTATTTTGCAGAGGACGGCTAGGAAATGTACACAGTTTTAAAACGCTCGTGCTGAGCTATTGTTCTACTCATGCATGAACTCTTTTGTTTTCCCACGTCTTCGTTGCCGTCGCCGTCGTGCTTTGCTTAAAGTCCTTATTGTGTACGTGGAAAACCTCGAACAGAATAAAAAAAAGGCGGGTCGACTTAAGCCATCTTTGAAGAGCCGCAGTAGGATCTAGTCTGAGTAAAGACTGCCTAATCCTTTCCCTTTGCAAAGTGAGACCTTGACTTTTAGGATGACCTTTAAGCATTCTTATGCCCACACCAGGATATTGTCCTTGAATTTTACGGACAACCTCATCAGGGGAATCATCACGGATATCACTGTATGTACTTGCGAATAAGCCACGTGTGCCCAAATGGGTGTATTCTAAATAATTCGTTCTTTGTCATTCAAAACACGCAAATGCGTGTACTCATTCACACGAATGCGATCGCTCGGGGAATTTGCATTTCACTCGAATTAATGGTTTTATATGCGTTCCTGCGATGAAAGTGGTGCAAAGTTGATCATTCAAATAATTCTAGCTAGAAAAAGCGCTCTTCGTTTTAATTAGTATAGGTGGATTTCGTTCATGCAACATGTCTGAAAACTTAAGAATTAGCTCTGAAGTTCATTATGAAACACTATTTTTTAATAAAGAATTGCGTGCAAGGAGCCGGAGGGTCATTTGACAAAGACCGTTCTTCTAAAATCCACTTTTTTTGAGTAATGAGATGAATAAACCATTAACCGACTGGAGAAAAAGCCAGAAGTTATAGGGATCTAGGATAAAGCAAACTCATAGTATAAGTCATTAATATTCTCAAAATAAATCACATCAATAGCATCACGTTTACGGGAAGAAACCACTATGTACTGCTTTAATAGATATGTTCTCTCCTTTCGTAAGCGTCAATGCAGTTAGTATTATGAGAGTGAGTCTGCCAGTTGAGGTCTCTGATATTCTGTTTTCATAGAGACGCCGC